CTGAGGAAACTGGACTGACGTCTAAATACTGAGAGTCCTACAATAAAACACACAGACAGTCACATATGAGTATGATACATTACTGCCGTCACATCACATCAGCAGATCCATTTCAGAAAAAACACAGTATATTCATATTACAGCCAGAGATATGAATGAGCAACTGATCATAGATTAATAACACTAAATGATCAACAACTCTTTCTTTATCACTTGCATATAGAGATGAAAAATATTTATATACTTATAGATCATAACATAATTAAACAGTTTAAAGTACGGAGACAAAAGTGGAGCTGAATTATTATCTTATATTCTCCAATTACACACATATGAGGACTGTTACTAAACTTTGGCCATTTTAAAAGATTTAGATAATAATAGACTCACAATAGTATAATTTCTCCAGTTTATAATGTGGATCATCTTTCAGATCAGAAAGTAACTTCACTCCTGAATCTCCTAGTGTATTCCCAGTCAGATCCAGTTCTCTCAGGTGTGAGGGGTTTGATTTCAGAGCTGAAGCCAGAGCAGCACAACCTTCATCTGTGATGCCACAATCCCTCAACCTGTAGAGAACAATGACACAATGTGAATTGTAGTTCAAGTGTCTGTAGTTTTTTATTGACTCTGGTCTCAGAGCAGGAGAGGATATATAATGACAAGCATTGCCACAAACTGCTGCTGATAGAATGAGATTTATGCATGTTGATGCTCAGTGGTGCTGTTTGAAACTGCCACGTGCTTCAGGACTGCACAGACACACAGAGCTGAATCTGAGATATTGTTTCATAGTGACATAAGGACATATCTGTCTGAAGAAACAATCAGTTGCTCCTCTAACAAACACCTACAGGAGGACATTTGCTTCACAGTAGCCACGTGTTCCCTATTACATCTCATTTATTAACTCTTGTTATCAAAAATATCATTGTGTCATGTTTGGCAGCTTATAAACTGAACAGAAATCCTTAATCACACATTAGTATTTGAACATTCAGGTTAAATCTTTATGACATCTGTGCGAAACAATGAGCTCATGGGATTTCAAAAAAAGTGGAACATAAGAGGAAAATAAACTCTTACACAGAGATGAGCAGGTGAAGAAGTATTAATCAAACTAGCAGAATTAAGCAACTGAAGCTCCAGTAAATGTTTGTTGGTCAAAAACAGGAGCAGCAGCTCATGTGATGTGATGAAGATGAATGAAATGAACTTCATCTTCAGTCATCAGAGTCAGTTGTGCTGAGATTTAGTGTGTTTACTGAACATTTATTTTACAAGCTTTAGTCTCAGAATTTACATCAAAAGGACAAAGACATGAGACTATCAGAGAGATGATCTTACCACAGTTTCTCCAGTTTACAGTGAGGATCCTTCAGTCCAGTACAGAGACAATTCACACCCAAATCTCCTATTTTATTCCCAATCAGATCCAGTTCTCTCAGGTGTGAGGGGTTTGATCTCAGAGCTGAAGCCAGAGCACCACAACCTTCATCTGTGACGCCACAATAATTCAACCTGTAGAGAACAATGACACACTCTTCACTCTCTCAGATCAGATCAGATCAGTTTAGCAGTGAATCCATTAGTAAAGAGAAAGTACAAATCAATGTGTGATGGATCACTGGACTGAGATTTAAAATGTCAAAGAGCAAAAAAAAAACATGATCATAAATCATCTAAAGTCTCATTTGAGAAAGATAAGTAATATTTCTTTATTGCGCTCTCAGTATTTTTAACCAAATTGTCTGTCTTATGAAGACATTCATACAAATTTGTTTAATCACACTATTCATTACACAGCTGAGATTTATACTGTTATTTTGCTCTGTATGGAGTAGTGGTGTGTGTGTGTGTGTGTGTGTGTACCTGTTTTTCTATTCTGGTGGGGACTTAAATCTGAATACACACAGACTCATGGGGACTCGTGTCACGGTGGGGACCTAAATTGAGGTCCCCACGGGTAAACAAGCTAATAAATCACACAGAAATAAGTTTTTTGAAAATCTAAAAATGTGAGGGGTAGGTTTAGGTGTAGGGTTGGTGTAGGGCAATAGAATATATGGTCTGTACAGTAGAAAAAGCATTACGCCTATGGAGAGTCCCCACAAGGATAGCAAACCAGACATGTGTGTGTTTCTCCTCCATCACCCAAGGATAGCAAAACCTGAGATCACACTGTGAGATATTATTTATACTTAGTGTAAATTGTAGCAGATAATACTTACACCTCAATGTATTGCAGTACATTACAAAACAGTACGTAATAACATATTCTTTGTACATGATTATATTCATTATAAACAGATGCTGCCTTATAGTGTCCTTACTTGTGTCTATTCCTAAAGCCACTCCTACACCTGCTCCTAATCATACTGAAGCTGCTGATCAGTGAAGGTGTTCTTGAAGGTGCAGGAAGAGAGTCATGGTTTTGAGTTTGGGAACAATATGAGCTGCATGTGGTTGATACACCAGCCCATCTGATGACACCACATACAGCTTCAATTATAGGCCTGTTAAATACCTGTTAGACACCTTATTTCCATGTTTTGAATATTTTCTTAATTTTTCTTTAATATAAATACCTCTCTGAGCTAATATGCAATTGAAAAAAAAAAAAAAAAACAGAAGAAATGCAGATTTGTACTCGGGTTGGTCACCTCAAAAGCCCGCTGTCCTTACTCTCCCGCTAATCTGACTGGTTTCTTTAGTAACTTTGTCTGCTAACAGTCAAGCTTTTGCGAACAAGATGGGCTATTAGCACTTAGAGTAAACAGACAATCTATTTAAAGGTTTTGCTAATGCAAAAACAGCTTTTAACATGAACACAGAAGTCCACACATGTACAAGAAACAAAGTCACACAGTCACAAAGTGTTTTACTTTCTGTATCTTGATTGACAGTTGTCTCATCCAATCAGTAGTAAGTATTCCATTCACAATCAATACCTACTTTTTACATTTTGTCTGACTTTTACTGACTTTCTTTGGGTGATTTGTTTTTTACTTTACAAATACTTTACAGTGTGTCATATATAATCTTACCACAGTATCTCCAGTTTACAGTGAGTATTTTGTAGTACATCAGAGAGCAGATTCACTGAATTTCCCATTTTATTCCCAGTCAGATTCAGTTCTCTCAGGTGTGAGGGGTTTGATCTCAGAGCTGAAGCCAGAGAAGCACAACCCTCATCTGTGATGCCACAATCACTCAACCTGTAGAGAACAATGATACATTCTTCACTCTCTCAGATCAGATCAGTTTATATGAAGGTAAAAGTGTAGCATAACTCGAGAGCTATAGCTGATTTTAATTTGAGAACTTGTCATATTAATATTCGTATTTGTAAGCTGAAATTTACACTCATAGTTCTGATGTGAAAAGCTTCAAATCTTAGCACTTTCCACCGTTTCCACACCGAGTCTATTGCTGCGCTGCACGCGCTGAATTAAAGTAACAGAGCATTGTTTGCAGTAAATATGCAGTAAATATGAACATGGATTGACATGAAAATGAAGTAATTACACCATAAACACATATTATTAAAGTCTACTGTGTTTCACAGTCAACACACATGGCTTCTGGCTAGGTTTAAAGGGAAAGAGCACTTTTAGATAAACAAGGCAATAATAGATGGCACTCATGGAGGTAGGAAAACAAAGTTCTTTATGAACCGCAGGATTGCTTGCAATAAAGAATTAAATGCACAAGAAAAGGCAGTAGAGCTGACTATTTCTGTCAATGGTAAGTTTGTGATAACGTAAGAAAAGTAGTTTAAATGTTTTGCCACTTGCTTGAGCAACTTAATATATAAATCTAGAAGTAAATGCAAAAGTAAAAAGCATTGAATAATGTGTTGCTTATATTTATTGTGTTTAAACATGTCTGTGAAAGATTGAATTACTGTACTGTGTAAAAAAAGAATTGCAATGCTGAAAAAGCATTTTCAGTGACAATGTTTGGATTTGAAATCAAAATAATGGATAAATGTTGTGTTTGTGGTAAACAGCCACGGATCAGTAGCGGACTCCTGTGTGAAAGCTGCTTCTCCTCTCACAAGAGTCACCTAAGAGGGGAAATCCCCCCATTTTCAAAAAGGAAATTCAGACCCTGAATAAATGTCTAAAAATCCTGATTGGAGTATCACAATAAATAGTTATAAATTATAAAAATAAGGCTTTAAAAAGATCGGTATCGGTGATCGGTATCGGCAGATATTGCTTTCTGTGATCGGTGATCTGCATCAAAAATCCTGATCGGAGCACCCCTAGTTTCTTTGTGTGATGATGTCACAGCAGTGGCACCTAGTTTGCCATTTTGGTAGGAAAGCCGGCTTTGGGAAAGCAACGGCACGGCAGAAGACTGCGAAAGCCACCGGCTCACTTAACAACACAGAAGACACGCAGCAGACGACACACTCTGCTGTAATGTAATGGTCAGTTTCATACAGTAATGCCCCTTCTGTATATGTAATTATTTTTCATAAACAAATAGTCTGTATCAACACTTCCCAGTTCTTATGGAGAAAAATAAATAAATACATTCAAACATTCAAATACAATGCTGTTTTAAATGAACATAAAATAAATAAATAAATGTAAAACTGAATTGGTAAGTTCTTCAGTGAACCAACGTGTATTTCTTCACTATACCCTATAGATGAGACATTATAATATTACGCTGTTAAATATTAAGATTATTAAATGTGGCAGCTCTGCTTAATGTTTTCACTAAAAACTGTTTAACTGAAAGCAAAGTTGCCAGTTGTGTGATGTCTTAATTTAGTGAATAAAGCATGCTTACAACACATAATATAAACTGCACAAATGTATCTCTGACCTAATACAATTTTTGTAACCTATGCTGTTCTGTTGTCCTCAGCTTCTTGTATAAATATCAAAGGTAGACTTGACGTAAAAGATCATGCAAGAACGTCTCGGGTTACTTGACTCTAACCCTGTTCCCTGAAAAAGCATGAACGAGATGCTGTATTTCAATAACGCTAATGAGAACATTCTTTGTTCAACCGGTTGTGAAGCATGTGTGTCAAACACGCCAAGAATTGGTTTAAATAACTCTCCGTAGGTGATGTCATTTGATTACGTTCTCCTGCGGGGTTATAAATAGACGTGAAACGGACACACCTTCAGGTTACACCTTTGTCTGAAAGGACGTCCAGGCATGCCTACAGTGCGGTACTGAGGCCCAAGCATCTCGTTCCCGCTTTTTCTGGGAACAGAGTTACAGAATCTGACAAATGCGTGCGGAGAGGACCAGCCTGCCGCATCACACACTTGCTGCAAGGGGACACCTCTTGCCAGAGCCATAGAGGAAGGCCTGTTAAGAGAGCATTCATGTTTCTGGATGACGGATCATAATGATGACATGTAGACGGAGAAGAGAAGTGGTCCGAGCATTGAGCCCTGAGGAACCCCAGTAGCAAGAAGTTGTGACGTAGAAACCTCCCCTCTCCAAGACACACTGAAGGACCTACCTGAGAGGTAAGATTTGAACCATTGGAGTGCAGTTCCTGAGATTCCCATCTTCATGAGGGTTGACAGGAGGATCTGGTGGTTGACTGTGTCAAAAGCAGCAGACAGATCCAGCAAGAAGAGTACTGTGGATTTGGAAGCTGCTCTTGCCAGTCTCAGTTGAGTGGCCGCTTTTGAAGCCGGATTGGTTGTTGTCGAGGAGATTGTTCTGTGCAAGAAACATAGAGAGTTGGTTGAACACAACTCGCTCAAGTGTCTTTGCATTGAATGGAAGGAGGGATACCGGTCTCTAGTTTTCTAAAAGTGCTGGGTTTAGAGTGGGTTTCTTAAGCAGTGGGGTTACTTGAGCCTGTTTAAATACTGTGGGAAAAGTACCAGTGTGAAGAGAGGTGTTGATGATGTGAGTGAGTGCAGGTATAACTGAAGAAGAAATGGCCTGAAGGAGGTGAGTGGGGATAGGATCAAGTGGACAGGTATTAGGATGCTTGGAAAGGACAAGTTTGGAAATGTCTGCCTCCGAGAGCGGAGAGAAAGAGTGTACGTGTTATGATGTGATTGTCAGTTTGAGGTGTGGAGAATTGGCTGCTGGTGGTTGTTGTTTTATTTATGAAGAATGTTGCAAAGTCATCAGCTGTAAGAGTTGAAAAAGGAGGGGGGGCAGAGGACAAAGAAGAGAAGAGAAGGTTTTGAAAAGTGTGCGAGAGTCAAAAGAATTGTTAATTTTATTGTGGTAGTATGTAGTTTTAGCAGTGGAGAAATTTGCAGAGAAGGAAGAGAGGAGAGACTGATACAAAGTAAGGTCAGTAGTTTTTGATTTGCGCCACTTCCTCTCCGCAGCCCTGAGTGTAGCTCGATGTTCACGAAGAACATCAGACAACCAGGGTGCAGAGGAGGTGGAGCGTGCTGGTCTAGATGAAAGGGGGCAAATGTTGTCTAAGCAAAATTTTAGAGTAGGGCAAAGAGTGTCAGTAGCACTGTTAGTGTCCAGTGCTGAAAACTGAATGGGTGGGGGAAGTGAGGATGAAACCATAGAGGATAGGCAAGAGGGGGAGAGTGAGCGCAGGTTATGCCGAAATGTGATTTTCGGAGGAGTGTGAGTTGTGTTAGGAGTCAGTTTGAGGGTAAAAGTGATGAGGAAGTGGTCTAAGATGTGCAATGGAGTAGCTAAAGTGTTGTCCGTGGAGCAGTAGCGTGTGTAGACAAGGTCTAGTTGGTTACCTGATTTGTGAGTAGCCGTAGCAGACACTCGCTTGAGATCAAATGAGGCAAGTAGAGTGTTGAAGTCAGCAGCCTGGGGTTTTAATAGGTGAATGTTGAAGTCGCCGAGTAGTATCAGAGGAGTACCGTCCTCAGGGAAGTGGCAGAGTAACACATCCAACTCCTCCAAGAAGTTACCCAGTTGACCTGGGGAACGATAAACTACTACAAAGTGAAGTTAAACAGGGTGTGTAATAGTAATAGCGTGTTATTCAAATTAACTGTTGCCAGTTAAAAATGGTAAAGGAACAAATTTCCATTCATTTGAGATAAGCAGACCAGTACCCCCACCCCTCTCAATCAGACGAGGGGTGTGGGAAAATGTTAAATTATTGGAGAAGGCTGCAGGAGTGGCAGTGTCCTCGGGTTTGATCCAGGTCCCAGTCAGGGCCATGAGGCTGAGACTTGAATATGTAGCAATAGATGAAATAAAGTCTGCTTTGTTTACAGCAGACTGGCAGTTCCAGAGACCAGTTGGAATAGAGATGAAAGAATTAGAAGACACAGGGATAGTGCACATATTGTTAGGATTGCGCTGCCTTCGATGTATAGAGCGTGATTTACGAGTATTAGTAGTAATAGTAGAGATTTGAAAGAACATAGTGAGGACAGATCACTAAAACAAACAGATGAGAACAAGCTGTAAAAAAGGGGGAAAAAAGCAACACTCAAGTGTCTTGCTCAGTGAAGTCGCGCAGGTAGAGTCGATGGTCTTTACATGCTTCGGTCTTCACACGAGGGCTGCCGCGTTATACTACACCGTTTTATAGACACTTGATACAACGTTATTTATTTCAGCTGGCCACGCCTTTCTAACTCAGAGCGAAACGAGAACAAACGAGACTTGCCATGTGCACAGAGTAAACAAAGATTTCCTAGCAACGACAACAGTTCTAAAATCAAATGAGAAAAGATACAAAAACAATTACAGTATGTTGAACCTCCTGTTGCTTGACTGCTTCTTTCTAATAAATGTTAAATTACAACTGTTTAAGTACTATTTAAGTACTATTAGCTGGCTTTGGCCACGCCTTACTTACTAACTAACTAAAATGGTATGTCATACACCAACTTTTGAAAACGCGCCATTTGAGGGCATAACTTATTTTAGTGGACGAAGCTCTAGCACTTAGAACAGTGTGTACTACGTCGGCTGGAAGCCCAGCATCTCTTAGTTGGTCCCCCTCAGGGGCCAGACATGAAGGTTGATTCACAAAATCTACGTTCTCTGGCTGGTGGTAAGCCGGGAAAAGCTTGCGGTTCATCTTCTCAACTGTCTTCCCAACTTTCTTCTGACTCTATTTCAGTGAAAATGGCATTGATCAATGCGAGATCTCTTTTAAACAAGTATTTTATTTTAAATTACTTTTTGCTCTCATGCAATTTGGATTTTCTATTTATTACTGAGACTTGGCTCAACATTGGTGATATGGCTCCTTTTTCTGAACTTTCTCCTCCAGACTGTAGTTTTTTTTAGCTTCCCAAGGTCAGTTTGATGGTGTGGGGGCCTTGCTGTTATTTTTAAAAACAAGTTTAAATGCAGACTTCTATCTACTGAGACTTACTCTACGTTCGAGGTTCAGTTAATTAGGTTGAATTCTTTTAAATCTGTTATGTGCTCTTATTTGTAGACCCCCCTCATATCATAAAGATTTTATAGGTGACTTTTCAGATTTTTTTATCTACTATTTTTCCATGTTCAGATAATATTTTAATTTTGGGGGATTTTAATATTCACGTGTGTTGTCCTTCCAGACCCTTGGTTAAAGAGTTTAATCATCTATTAGAGTAATTTGGTCTATCACAGTGTGTTGTAGGCCCTACAAATGAACGTGTTCATACTCTCGATTTAGTGTTAACACTTGGTTTTTCTGTCGTCAATGTGCAAATTGCTGACACTGTTTTTTCTGACCACAAGACTGTTTTGTTTAACCCTACTTTCTCTTATAACGGTCAGGTTAATGATGGTTTTGTTGCTGTTGAATCTCGGGTGCTCTCTCCCTCTACTGCTAGTAGTTTTTCAGCTGCTTTTAATGTTCTTCCATTGAAATTGTTGATGGAGTCTCCTTTTTCTGGTATGGGACCTGAAGAGTTGGTTATCCACTTTTAACTCTTCATGTTCTGACATTTTTAATTCTGTGGCTCCTTTGAAAACTAGGAAGAAGAAAGTCAAGACCCAGCCCTGGTTGAACAGCAATAATCGTACTCTCAGGCAAGAGTGCAGGAGGGCTGAGCGTAAATGGCTCAAATATAAACTACAAGTTTCATATGAATCTTTGAGAAATTGTTTGACGAAGTTTCAAAGAGCAGTCAAACTAGCTAGATCAAACTATTTCTCTGACATCATTTCAAATAATTGTCATGATTCAAAAATTCCATCTGCTTTATTTAAGGAGGTGATGGACTCAATTGGTCCAAGCGTGTTATCTATTGTCAATAGTTGTTTGTCTACTGCTTTTGTTCCAAGTAGCTTCAAACATGCTATCATTCAGCCCCTTCTTAAGAAATCGAATCTTGATGCCTCTGACATGAATAATTTTCGTCCTATTTCAAAGATATTAGAAAAGACTGTGTTTGTACAACTGAATGATTTTTTTTAGTTAGTAATAATATTCTCAATATATTTCAATCAGGCTTCAGAGTCTGCTCTATTGAGGGTTTCAAATGATATTTTATTAGGTGTAGATTTGGGTAGTTTCGATACGGTTGATCATGATATCCTCATTAATTGTCTTAAAGACCAAGTTGTCATCCATGGTCTAGCCTTTGACTGGTTTTCTTCATATCTTAAGGGTAGAACCATTTCAGACAGTTTGGGAAACTGCTCTTCTTCTGTTGTGCCACTAACGTGTGGGGTTCCTCAGGGCTCGATTTTAGGACCGGTTTTATTGTACCTTTATTTGCTTCCATTAGGAAAGATTTTTGATAAGCAGACGGTATAAATTAACATCTGTATGCTGATGATTCTCAAATTTATTTCCCTATAAAACGTGGTGAGCAATCCTCTCTTGACTCTGTATAATTGTTTGGCTGATGTGAAGTGTTGGCTGACAAACAACTTTCTCCAGTTGAATGAGGATAAGTCAGAGTTTGTTGTCTTTGGTCAGAAAGGCTGTGGTATGGATTCTAATGACAACTTTCCTTTGTGAAAAACCTTGGCTTTATTTTTGACTCTGAGCTTAAATTTGATCGTCAAACAAATGCTGTTGTTAACATTTTTTATTTATCTTACATCTATAACCAAGTTGAAGTCTACAACAAGTCCTCTCTTTCACTGACTTGAAGAAGGTTGTGCATACCTTTGTGTCTTCTTGTTTGGATTACTGTAACGCTTTGTATCTGGGTGTGAGTCAGGCCTCCCTCTCTCGCCTGCCGCTGGTTCAGAACTCAGCTGCTAAGCTTTTAACTGGTACAAAAAAAGACCATATTACTCCTGTATTGATTTCCTTACATTGGCTACCGATTTGATATTGAATCCAGTGTAAAGTGTTGTTATATGTTTTTAAATCTCTCCATGGCTTGGCACCAGAGTATATTTCTGATTTAATTAATTTACATAAACCTTTGATATCTCTTCCCTTCAATGATCAGCTGTGTCTGAGGGTTCCTCGATCGCGCTTGAAATGTAGAGGTGATAGAGTTTTTTCCGTAGCAGCTCCTAGACTATGGAATGAGCTCCCGCTGTCCTTAAAAACATCTCCTAATCTAGGGTCATTTCAGAGGGTGTTAAAAACATATTTATTTTCCTTAGTTTTTAATAATGTGCTCTAAACTGTATGCATTTTTGGTTGTATGTATTTGTTATTTTTATGTACAGCACTTTGGTGTTTGAATTTTGGGTTTGAAAAACCCATTGTGGTTTTTGAAAGTGCTCTAGAAATAAAGTTCAGTTGAGTTGAAGGTTCCAGAGCTCGGGCCGGGGATGATATACTGTCCCCTGCGCCTGAGATAGGAGATCTCTCCTGACCGGAATCACCCATGGTGAGCCGCCAAGGAGGAATATTAGATCCGAGAACCTCACTCTGGTCGGCCAACAGGGCATTATCAGTAAGAGGCGAGACCCTTGTTGACGGACCTTGGCCAGGACTCCCGGGAGCAGAGCGATCGCGGGGAAATAAATAAAGACGCAGTCTGGGCCACACGTGGGCCATTGCATCCAGACCCAGGGGAGCTGGAGGAGTCAGAGAGAAGTAGAGGGGACATTGTGCTGTCTCCTGTAAAGCAAAGAGGTCCACCTCTGCTTCGTAAAATGTTTCCCAAATTTGACTGACTACTTCAGGGTGGAGTTTCCATTCCCCATGTGTCACAGCTTGTCTGTACAGCAAGTCTGCTCCCACATTCATATGCCCTGGAATGTAAATCGCCCTGAGGGACAGGAACTTGTCATGTGCCCAAAGCAGAACCTGCTGCTCTAGCTGTTCAGGTGGCACGAAAGCAGTCTGCCCTGGCGATTTCTATAAGAGACTACCACAGTGTTGTCCACCCGCACTAGGACATGGTAGCCCCTTAACTGCTGGAAGAAGTATTTCAGGTCCCAAAATACAGCTATCATTTCGAGGCAGTTGATTTGCCAGTCGAGAAGATGATCTCTCCAGATCCCTTGGGCTGGACGGCCATCTAAGACCGCACCCCAACCCCTAGAGTGGGACCCAAAGTCAGAAACCGGGGTCTGAACCACATAGATAGGGTACGATGCCCCCGACGCATAACCCATATTTGCCTCTGGGGATTGGTCCTCGGATGAAATCCCCTGGCTGAATCCCCACAACTGAAACGGTCTCATGTGCAGGAGGCCCAAAGCTATCACCGTGGATGCAGCCGCCATGAGACCTAGAACCCTTTGAAAGCAATGGACAGTAACTTTCTGGCCTAGCTTGATATTCTTTAGGGTGTTTAGAATGGATTTGATACGTGCATGAGACAGCTGTGCCCGCAGTTCGATCGAATCTCATACAACCCCCAAATAAGTTGTCCTCTGGGCAGGAGAGAGAACGCTTTTCTTGGCATTGAGTCTTAACCCTAGAGATTTGAGATGAGCTAGGACGACATCCCGATGTCGAAGTGCAAGCTCTCAAGACTGGGCCCAAATAAGCCAGTCGTCTATGTAATTTAAAATGCAGATGCCCTGGCATTGCAGAGGAGCCAGTGCTGCATCCATGCATTTTGTGTATGTGTGGGATGACAAGGCTAGGCCGAATGGAAGAACCCGATACTGGTAAGCTTCGCCCCCCAAAAGCGAACCTCAGGAACTCCCTGTGTTGTGGCAAAATTTCTATGTGAAAGTATGAGTCCTTGATCGATTGTCACAAATCAATCCCCTGATTGGATCTTAGAAAAAATCTTTTTGATTGTCAGCATTTTGAACTTCTATGTTCTGAGATAGTGGTTCAACCCGCGGAGATCTAAAATTGGATGCAACCACCCATCTTTCTTGGGAACCAGAAAATACCGGCTGTAGTAGCCTGACTCTCTGTCTGGTAGGGGAACCTGTTGTATGGTCCCTTTGTAGAGCAGAGCTTGCAATTCCTGTGTCAAAAAATGCACTTGTACCGGTTTTCACGGAAGCGGAGGCCACGCCGTTGAAACGTGGAGGACGATGTGCAAACTGAATTCTGTAGCCTTTCTCTACAGTCCTTTGGACCCATGGAGAGATATTTGGCAGTAGCTTCCACGCTGCCAGTTTCTCTGAAAGGGGCACTAGTTTGGACACTTCACTTTGATGGGGGGATGTTAGATGTCCAGTGTCCTGAAACATGGCAGGAGGCAACCGAACATGTAACACTTCGCTGGAGACCGCTGCTCCCCGAAACACCAGTGGCGGCGGAGATTGTACAGTGGTCCCCTGAAGGTGCCGGGAAGGAGCCCCTAGTATCTGTTGGAATGTTATGTGCCCCTCCCCAAGGGGACACACTCCCATGGTCCTGGGCACACCACCCTCAGGACTTCTTCTTTGAGGAGATGATGCTCCTCAGGTCTGGCCTCTTAAAGGTGGTCTGTGGAGTGCGACGAGCCGTTTCCCAGTCTTTGCGAGGAGGCGCACGACTCACCACACTCTCTTTCTGGGCTTCTCCTGGTCGGGACTGGGTGGCCGACAGTTCCGACGCTTGAGCACGGCGGGGAAGAAACTTCACAAAAGCTTCCTCTTAATGCTTCGCCTCCCGGAACCTACTGACGACTCTGTTGACAGTGCCGCCAAATAGGCCGAAAAGTGAAACGGGAATCAAGTAGGAATGCCCGGTCCTTCTCCTTGATACTCGTGAGGTTCAGCCACAGGTGCCTCTCCGTGGAGACCATAGCAGCCATTGAATGGCCGATGGCGCGGGCCATCTGCTTAGTCACACAGAGAGACAGGTCTGTGGCCCGGCGAAGTTTAGCAAACGCCTCCTCATAGATACTCTCGTGCTTGTGCTCAAGTCCTTCAGCAGGTCAGCCTGGTACGCCTGCAAGACCACCATGTTGTGCAGGGCAGCACCAGCCTGACCCGCTGCTTGGAAAGCTTTTCCCACCAGCGAAGATGTCAGTCTACAAGGCTTGGTGGGGAGCATATGTTTTAAATAAAAAGATGAGCTCCCAGGGGAGAGATAGCCCACAAGCGTCTCTTCCACCTGGGGCATCATCATGTAGCCCCGTGCCTCTGCATCCACAATGGTTGAATAAACCGACCTCGATGGCACAAAGACATGGGATGAGTAGGGCTTACTCTATGAACGAGATAACTCGTCATGGAGATCGCCAAAGAAGGGGAGAGACTGAGGTCCCTCCCCCCGGCCACCTGACAGAAATCTGTCATCCAGCTTCAAGCGTTTGGAGGCCTCCTGCTCCTGTGGCCAGTCCAGCTTTAATCTGTCGACTGTTTGAGTCACCACCTCGAGTAACTCCTCATACGCTTTATTCTCACAAGAGTAGAGCTCTGGGTGGCGATCTCGATCTCCATCTCTGCAGAGGCAAGAGATGAAATGTCTCGCTAGGACCTCCCGATCCAGCGATAGCACGAAAGAAAGGGGCGAACACGTCTCACGTGCCTCAGCCAGATCGACACGCGACCCCCAGAATCTTAACGAGGCAGCGGCAGCTCGCTCTTCTTGTCCCTCCCCCCGGCCACCTGACAGAAATCTGTCATCCAGCTTCAAGCGTTTGGAGGCCTCCTGCTCCTGTGGCCAGTCCAGCTTTAATCTGTCGACTGTTTGAGTCACCACCTCGAGTAACTCCTCATACGCTTTATTCTCACAAGAGTAGAGCTCTGGGTTGCGATCTCGATCTCCATCTCTGCAGAGGCAAGAGATGAAATGTCTCGCTAGGACCTCCCGATCCAGCGATAGCACGAAAGAAAGGGGCGAACACGTCTCACGTGCCTCAGCCAGATCGACACGCGACCCCCAGAATCTTAACGAGGCAGCGGCAGCTCGCTCTTCTTTGAAGAAAGCAAGTCGAGCGCAAAGCACTTTGATGGGCAACACGTCCCAATGCTCGCACTCTCCCTCAAGCCCGAGGGCAGCGTGCTCATCCCCCAAACACTCGAAGCAAAACTCATGCAGGTCATCCTCCGAGATGAGTCTCAAACAAGGAGGCACGCATCTCTTCTAAGTCTCTGACATAGTTTTAATATTTGTTTTCTTTCTTAAAGGAAAAGATCAACTGCAATGCTGCATGGAGAAAATTCTCTCAATCACACACACAAAACAGTCCTTGAAGACAAAGAAACCTGAAGGTGTGTCCGATTCACATCTATTTATAACCCCGCAGGTGCACATAATCAAATGACGTCACCTACCAAGGTTTTTTAAGCCAATGCTTGGCATGTTTGACACACATGCTTCACAACCGGTCGAACAAAGAATGTTCTCATTAGCGTTTTTGAAATGCAGCATCGAGAGTAGCTTTTGATAGGGAACATGAAAAAAAACTAACATTGTCTGTTCTTTGACCATGTGATGCACTGTGGACCTGGATAACCATCAGTTTGACATGCCACTATTATGTAAAGATCTTCCAACACAAAACTATTTCTATGATTAAATGTGCTGGCCTATTCCATAGTAAGAAAAAATAAATTATATAAAATAAAAAATTATATAAAATAATTATATGTAATGTGCACACATTGTAAGAAGACACTGGTAGATGTAAACATAAACGTTACAATGGTAGACATTATAAACAAACTGTGGTCACAATTATGAATACGGGACTGCCTGTCTGCTGATTATTTTCAGATCAATGTGAATATTGAATAAAGTAATGTTTTTACGCAGCAAACAGGAGGAGTTGTAAATGTAAAAGAAGCTAATGTGCCTTCTAAAAATCTAGACAATTAAGACAATAATATTATATAATAATATATAATATAATATTTGATACGTTTATTATGTTTATGTATTATGTTTATTACGATTTTTATTATGATTTTTTGTTTTTGTGAAAACCTGTATCTGAACAGATACCCTGTAAATAGTGATTGACATTTTGACTCCTATCCAATTTTCTGTATTAAAAAAGGGCAATTTCCAAAATCTGAAGAGTGTCTGCCTGAAGGGCTACCAGGTGTAGCCCAGATCTAATTCATTTGTATAAAAAGAAAAAAGAAGAAGAAAGTAGAGATCACAAAGTGTTAATAATTTAATTAAGATTGCTCTCAATATATTAAAATTTGCATGTGCTCTTACACTCTAAATTGCTTGCATTTAAATACCTGTTCATCTTAATTATTTTAGTCATTTCCAAGTTTACGCTTCAAAGGTGGGCGGGGCTTAGAAAAGAGAGTCTAGCAGCTGGTGAGGAGAGAGAAATAGAACTGGCAATCCGTCGTAGTTCTCCGAAATAAGCTAATGCAAACCCAATATTAGGGATGGCAGATCGTTGTTCTTTCCTGGGGATGCTTATCTGAAGGTTTGAAGGTAAATTGTCTGTTTCTTGTAGTTAATACTGGTGTAATTAATATGGTGTGCACTGCTGGAACAAATGCTAATCGTGCATTTGCAGAACATGCGATCTGGTAATAGTGACTAGTAAAATAGCATTGCTCGCCATTATTTAAATTTTTTTTGCCAGTAATGTTTGTAATGTATTATATAAGTTACATGGACTGATAAAATAATGTTTACATAGGAAATGGACAGTTGTTTTTGGGGATCATATGTTTATTGACTGGGATAACCTCCTCGTCTACGGGAAAAAAAAACATTTTGCTCGAGAAGACTGTCTCTAAAGATGTGTGTTTTTGGATGTGAGGAAAAATAACCTTCTTCAGTGTTATGTGAACAGTGGATGCAATTAGTTTTTTCCAGGGGAGCAACGGAGTTTCACGAGCATGTTTGTTGTTCCTGTCACTTCGATGACGAATGTTTTATAACAAGGTTACATTCTGACACTGGATCCCAGCAATCCCAGATCTCTGTCATGACTAGGAATTGCTGTAAAACTGCATCAAATGCCTGTGTTTGTTGCCAATCGCCCCGTAAGTGGTCACGGCTCTTCAGCTCCGCCCACGGCTCGCCTCCAGGAGCTCGGCTGTTTTCGGAGAGAATCGTAAGCTGTATCTTTCTTTATAAATCTGATAAAACTGAAGACTCTTCGGAGATGTGAATGATACTGATTTAATACTGATTTCTCGCTAGAAATAACTTCAGACGCCATCTTTATTTTGCTCAACCATCACAGGATAGGACACACAGGATTGTGGATGCATCTATTCTGCCTTTCAATATCGACCAGATGAAGGTATCTCAGGAGGCAGGAAGTGAAGCTAACATTGGATTCAACATGTCTTGATGCCTTCCTACCTTGAAATGTGTCCTCCAAAGGCAGCATTTTCCAGTTTTGGATGCAGCCGTCAGTTCAGTGTTGATTCTGCTCCGGTACCAGATACGCTTGTTCTGTCTAGTCATATTGGAAACATGCTTGTTCTTAAGCTCTCGGTTGCTATTGGGAATATGCTTGTTCTTAAGTTATAGTTGTATTGTCGGGAACACACTGGTCCCAGAGCTATCTGGTTGTTAGTGGAACATGCTTGTTCTAAAAGCTGTAGTTGTATTGGGAACATGCTTGTTCCAGAGCAATCCGGTCATTATTCGTAACATGTTTGTTCTTAAAGCTGCAGTTGAATCGGAAACATGTTTTTCTTAAGTCTATCTGGTGTTATTGAGAACTTGATGCTTAAGCTTTTAAGGTATTGACAACATACTGTAGGATATCAGACCGAATCAGACAATCTAAGATTTGGTCAAAACATGGTTGAAACATGAGACGAATTCCACAGAGGCCCAAGACAACAGGATGTTCATAAATCAGATCCTGGCCCCAAGCCTGAACCAACTAGCAGCTTTGAGTAGGTCATCTGTTAAAGGCAACATGATTGTTGCTACAGGTTATGCAGGTTTTGCAACATACTTGTTTTGGTCATTTGGTTAACGGCAACATGCTTGTTGCTAAAGGTTTGAGATTTTGCTATCAGTTTGTGTTGGGGGATATCAGCATATGGTTTTGTTTTGGGGGGTTATCGCTGCTCTCCCTGCTTTCATCCATGCTAGGCTGCATGGATGCACAGGGAGTTCTTGCCCAGAACGCAACCATACCGCCAATACAAACTGTATGCTAATTGTCAGTCATCTTTGACGATAGTGGTCCTGACAGAAATCAAGCATAGCGTTAGTTCTGGCAGGTCACGTTAGTCAAGCTCGCATCAGCTGACTCTAAGCTGATTCCCATCTATCTATAGGAATACGACACCTATCTAAGGTCCCTCAGTATTATCAGCAGTTTTCGCATTGCTCAATAGCTAATTACCCTTCTCCATCCCCAGCTCCTCCTCTGTCAGTCAGGATTCAGCCTTCTAATTATCCTTTTGAATCAGAATAATTCTAAAATGTGTACATAAAATTATTGAACTTTAACGATATCTGCAATACATTTATGTTGGTTCTGTTCTGCTTACCCTGGGGGGGTTATCGCTGCTCTCCGTGCTCTCATCCATGCTAGGCTGCATGGATGCACAGGGAGTTCTTGCCCAGAACAGAACCATACCGACAATCCACACTGTATGCTAATTGTCAATCACCTTTGACGATAGTGGTTCTGACAGAAGTGTAATTTAAAAAAAAACACAGATTTTTTAAGATGGAATCCTGGAATCCTTCTGTTTCCATTAAATGCTTTTTTTAGGACAGAATGAGAGGTGGATAGGTGGAGAGATGTTTTTCTTTTCTTCATGCAAACTACCTTCTACATTTGTTTCTATTTCTTTCTCCGATCCCCACTGAATGAACACGAGACTTTTCCTCCTCGCCGGCGCTGACGGACGGGATTGGATCTGCGTGACAGGTGAGTCGGCCCAGCTGCTACCTGTGTCAGACAGCAGCTGTCCGTCTCTCACTCACATACTCACTCACACTCACAAACAGTCAGTCACGCATCCAGTCACACTCATTCAAAAACATAAATGCATTCACTCCCACACAGCCATTCACCCCAAACAATCAGCTCTGCTCAGATGCTCAGCTAAAAGAGCAACATGCTCTGACACTACTGTTTTTTTCTTTCATGAGACTCAACTGAAATGGATCTTATAGTTTGTATTTATTTTCTGTGCATTTTTTTTTCATCAGAAATGTACCTGTTTATCAGTTTCTAGTTTAGTGAATGATTAAAAACAATCCAGGCACAAAATAATTCTTTAAGTATGTATGTATTAAAAACTACTTTATATCAATACTATATACTATAATACTTTATATCGACTATTTCTGCGAAATGACGATTGAACTTACAGTCTGACTTATTAAGCATTTAAGAGGGTTTTGTCTGGGTCGTCCTTGTATTCCCATCCAGCCATGACAGGATAACACACTCTTTGTCTCAGTATTATGACGGCAATGAATGTACTCTAACGGCCTCTGTCTGTACCTCCGCCCAGGTACACCTGCCAGCAGTCGACCACCTCTCCGTCTGTTCCCATCCCCCTTTCTTTCCTCTGCAGTTGAATAAGGGAGATCAAACGGTGGGCACATTGTTAAAGCCCATGTCACTGAAACACCTGTGCTCTGCATAGTACAACTGTACTTAACTAAGACTTAACTAAGTCACCTGGACTAAAACTGTACCTAATCATTTGTATTTCTGGAACAAAACTGTAAAAAGTGAAAATGTGCTGTTGTTATCTCAACCCTGAAAAAGCTGCCATATGAAATAATAGTCACAAAGTCACACGTGTTTTTGTATCATATTTAATACACCAGGCTTTTATGGCTCTTATATTATGATATAGGATAATATGGAGCTCATATTTAGAGGCCCAAACTGAGCCAAAAAGTAAGATGAAATTCTGATAGCTTCTAATGTAAATCAGTGAGATATACAGTATAGCGGACTAACATTAAATAATTTAAATACCATTCTACTTCTCCCAATAATATGGCTTAGATTATTTTTAAATGTTTAGTTTGACGATCAAAGCTCTGTAGTCTCCAAACATATAATGCAATGCAATACAATGATGATTGAGAGATGAACAAAAAAACGTTCCTCAAAAGCCTGATGATCATATTTGATACTCACATTATTATTATTTTGGATAATCAAATAAACCTAAGTTGCTTTGACTCTAAGCTGATTCCCATCTATCTATAGGAATACGACACCTATCTAAGGTCCCTCAGTATTATCAGCAGTTTTCGCATTGCTCAATAGCTAATTACCCTTCTCCATCCCCAGCTCCTCCTCTGTCAGTCAGGATTCAGCCTTCTAATTATCCTTTTGAATCAGAATAATTCTAAAATGTGTACATAAAATTATTGAACTTTAACGATATCTGCAATACATTTATGTTGGTTCTGTTCTGTTTACCCTGGGGGGGGGGGGGGGGGGGGTGTGGGCTGTCCTCCCCTCTCCGCTGCTCTCCCTGCTTTCATCAATGCTAGGCTGCATGGATGCGCAGGGAGTTCTTGCCCAGAACGGAACCATACCGCCAATACAAACTGTATGCTAATTGTCAATCATCTTTGATGATAGTGGTCCTGACAGAACCTTTAATTACATACCCCTCTTCTGAATATTTGATCTTACATTTAATAATTTCCCTAATATATATATATATATATATATATATATATATATATATATACATGTATATACAACATATAAACATATATTCTTACATATAATATATAGATATAAGTTAAGAAAATCACGAAAATAAAAAATGCATTTTGTAATTAATATTAATAAAATACAGTGGACAGACAATAATTAAATCCACTGTTCTTAATACATTTTTTTATTCTTTATTCTTAATACTGCATTTTTTCTTGAACAATTACTAGGAAAAAACATACC